CCTGAGCTGAACAGTGTCGAGACTAATAGCTGTCCTGCAACTCCACCTTAGAGTAATCCACTCAAATGATTAACTCCTGGGGATTTCAGGTTCTGGTTCTTAAAACCTGAAAGGGAGTCTTGGCCTTGTTATGCTGTGGACTGAGTGTCCTGAAAGTTGAGGAAGCATATTTAACCAGACCACAAACCAAGATATAGTTTCTGTATTAGTTGAAATGTAAATTTCTCTGAGCATGTTTTTTTGTTTTCCTATAATGATAATGAACAGGGATCAGGTTGTGTTGTTATATAAATAGTAATGTTTTTCTAGGAATATCATTGTAAGCAATCTGACTCTCTCTGCCTCTGATGCTGTCCATCAGACCAAGAACAATGAAAAAGCTTTGGGCTCAACCAACATTTATTGAGGAGTTATTATATGCCAGGTACTTCCACATATATTATCTATAGTTAATCCTTAGAAAAACTTTTGGGGGTGCCTGGGTGGCTCAATCGTTAAGCGTCTGCCTTCGGCTCAGGACCCAGCCCCGCATCGGGCTCCCTGCTCCGCGGGAAGCCTGCTTCTCCCTCTCCCACTCCCCCTGCTTGTGTTCCCTCTCGCGCTGTGTCTTTCTCTGTCAAATAAATAAATAAAATTAAAAAAAAAAACTTTTGAAGAAGATATTATTCCAAAGAGAGTTTACATGACTTACTCAGGTCACTGAGATTCTAAGGGGTGGAGCTAGACCATATTTCAGCTCTGTATGACCAATATTGTTCCAGCTCTGTGTTCTTTCCACAGCATCACAGCTAAAATAGAGTGACTGCTTAGGAAAGAGATACTGTCCTGCATTAAGACTGTAGAGGTGGTGTTACCTTTACATACAGGAAATAGGGGAAATGGGATTTGTTTCCCCCAACATTTTTTAAAAACTTTATTTTTAGATCAATATTAAGGTCACAGCAAAATTGAGAGGGAGGTACAGAGATTTCGCATATACCCTCCACCCCCCCACATGCACAGCTTCCCTTGTTATCAACATCTCCCACCAGAGTGGCACATTTGTTACAGTTAATGACCCTACATTGACACATCATAATTACCCAAAGTCCACAGTTTACATTAGGGTTCACTCTTGGTGCTGTACAAATGTATAATGATACGTATCCACCATTGTAGCATCATACGTAGTATTTTCAATGCCCTAAAAATCCTGTTTTACTCCACCTATTCATTTCTCTCCTTCCTTTCCATATCCTCTAGCACAACCTGTCTTTTTACTGTCTTCATAGTTTTGCCTTTTCCAGAATGTCATAATGTTGGCATCATACAGTAGGTACCCTTTTCAGATTGGTTTATTTCACTAATAGGCATTTAAGTTTCCTCCATGTCTTTTCTTGTCTTGATAGCTCCTATCTTATTAGCACTGAATGATATTCCATTGTACGGATGTACCATAGCATATTTATACATTTGCCTACAGAAAGACATCTTAGCTCCTTCCAGGTTTTGGTAATTATGAATAAAGCTGAAAGGGGACCAATTTCCAAATCCTCAACTTTCTTTAGTACTACTTCCTAAAAAAACTTATTTGCCTTCTCTCACCTTCTCTTTGCCTTTCCTACTTCCCTTTCCAAGTCTCTAAAAATGAAAGCATACCTTTCAAAGGTCAAAAATCTTACTAAGGTACATTGACTCAGGGTGTAAAAACCCTTGGTGCTAAGCAAGGCAACAATTTCAAAAATTGATGTCCAGGAATTTTCTTTAAGTCAAGGCCCTGTGCTACCCCTTCCCCATCCATCTCACTAAGAGCTGCATTTCCAATAAAGTTTATGTTTTAAGTTTAATAATGATAAATACCATAGGCTTTCACTCATATGTGGAATTTAAGAAACAAAACAACCAAGCAAAAGGAAAAAAAAAGAGAGAGGCAAACCAAGAAATGGACTCTTAATTACAGAGAACAAACCCATGGTTATCAGAGGGGAGGTGGGTGGGGGGATGGATTAAATAGGTGATAGGGATTAAGGAGTACACTTGTGATGAGCCCTGGGTGTTGTACGGACATTTTGAATCACCATATTGTATACCTGAAACTAATATTATACTGTATGCTAACTAACTGGAATTTACATAAAAACTTAAAAAGAGAAAAACCTCTGAATGACACTTAGGCTTTCCCAGTCAAACAATATCATTAATTGACTCAAATCTTTGATCCGTGGAACAAGATATCCTAGGGATAGCAGCACAATCCTATTACATGGTTCATATTGATAGGATGGTTTATGACCTTGATGTTGGATCTCAGGTTACCCTGATTGTGTAATGGCTATTTGAGGCATGTTGTTACAAATAAAGTTTATGAGATCTGAAAAAAATAATAATCACAATATATAAGAGTTTCATGCTGTTTTTATCTATTGTGTTTGCATCACAATTGCAATTGTAACTGAATCCAGAAGATTTTTTATACTTGGAGGCTATGATCACAAAGAAATAAAAATAATTCAATTTCTATTTATGGACAAATCTTTGTTGCAGAGAAATTCAATATGGTGATCAATAGAAGACTTTCAAGTATAAAAATCTATTATGATGGAATACAATTCTGTGGGGAGAATGCAATGGATACTTGATTTCAAGGAGAAGAAAGGAATGATGCAAATTTTCTGAAGGTTAAAGGAAAGTTTACACTTTTGTGTTTAATGTTTGATAGTGGGCATCAAATTGCTCTGGTATTTAGAATCCAATGAAAATCTTTAAAAGCATAATATAAAAGTTTTATTTTAAGTTGTCAATATGTATAGTATACTGGATATTTTACCTTTTGCAACTATTTAAACATGATGAAAAATTTAGATGTCAACCTAAAAATATGTGAGGGAGTACATAGCTTCTCAAAATTCTTCTAGGGGTTATGTGAATAAAAGTTTGAAGATCCCAATCCTATAGGGTTGTTGTGAGGGTGAGGTATAATGTGTGCAAAGCATCTAGGATAATGCTCAGTTAACGCAGCTATTATTTGAGGACTGAGTTCTCATTTTAATCCTCTTTCTTCTTTGGTATTTGATCCGGGGCATTTGATTTCCTCTGCACTTTAGCCTCATTGTCTAGATAAAGGATAAAACAGATGATTGTAAAAACACTTTGGGTATAGGAAGTTAGACAAGTAAGAGTGTACCTAACATCAATAATGTCAGTGGTAGTATTCGTAGTGATGAAAACAGGTATAGACTATAAGTCAAGGCCTATAGCAGATATGCAATAAATGCTTGTCAAATTAGTGAATGAATGCTATAAGGAACCTTGCTAGAATGAAAGACCATATACCCATTTATTGGGCACCTTCTCTAGTACCTGCATCGGTGTTTTAAAAGCCCAATTTGGACATTTTCTCATAAAGATAAAAGGAGTAGGCAATAAAATCCTTCCCTGGGACGTGGCTACTCATTAATTTTCTGAAGGCGTTTCTTCACTGGATTCTTTACCAAACTGCAGTATAGTGTAGTGGTTAAGAGCAGTGCCTCTAGAACCAGCCAGGTTAGGCTCAAGTTCAAACACAGCCACTTAAGTAGCTGTGTGTCTTTGGGCAAGTCATTTAACTTCTGTTCAACTCAGGTATCTTTACATGGGTATAGTAAGAATACTAACCTCATAGGATTGTTTTGAGGGTTAGTGAAATGGGTTTATAGAATTATAGGTTGTGTGGAGGGTGGAAGAATGTTGCCCCCAAATATGTCCATGTCCTAATCCCTGGTACCTGTGAATATATTACTTTATGTGACAAACAAAATAATCGCAGCTGTGATTAAGTTAAGGATCTTGAGACAGGGAGATTATCCTGAGTTAGTTGGTGGGTTCTTATGAGTGAAAGTGGGCAGGAGAGTCAGCGTCAGAGCAATGCAGTGGGAGAGACTTGATCAGGCATTACTGGCTTTGAAGATGAAGGAAGAGGGCTATGAGGCAAGGGATGTGGATAGCTTTTAGAAGCTGGAAAAGGCAAGGAAGTGGATTCTCCCCTGGAGCCTCCAGAAAAGAACACAGCCCTCTGACATCTTGGTTTTGACCCGGTGAGGTCCATTTCGGATTTCTGACTTCCAGAACTCTAAGATAATAAATTCATGTTGTTTTAAGTCACCAAGTTTGTGGTAATTTTTTACAGCAGAAATAGGACACCCATGCAGGTGGGTTAGCCATTATTACCCTATTTACAACCCCCTTCAGTTCTGGCTTTTCTTGGCTTTCTTCACAGGGCCATGTAATCTAAACACTTCTCCACAATAAAAATGGATCCTTCTGCCCACGTACACACGATTTTCCACCGCGAAGCTGCTCTTAATCTCAAGGCATCCACCTGTAAGAGTAACCCCAGTTCTCCCACCTTGGACAACGAACAAAAGGTCTCTTAGCCAAGCTGCAAGACAATTTATAACATCCTCTTCTTAGGTTTTCCACTTACACATGGAAAATCATGTGCTTTAATGAACAACCTATGCAATGAGTTGAATCACAAAAACCATGCTCTGAGGTCCTATTCAGAATAAAGTGAATTCCTAATTATGGCCTCCCTTCCTTTGGCGGGGGGTTCTGAGCCTAACATTGAGATCCTAGAGTAGGCGTCAACCCTTGAGGTTGTCCAGGTCGAGGGCCCATGGGAATTCAAACACGGGGATCAGGACAAATGGGCAAGGGAAGGGAAAAGGAAGTTGCTCCCTCAGAGGGAAGCTGGAAAGAGAGTAAGGAAAAAAAAAAAAAAAAAAAAAAAAAGAAAGAAAAAAAAAGACAGCCAAGTAATGGGAAGTGAGAGATGGCCTCCCACAACCGACGCCTCCCGGGTTCTCTCGCTCGTTTCGGAAACTTTTCCTCTTAGGCTCCAGTGCGGCGCACCTGCCCCTCGAGGCTGGGCCTGGGGAGCGAGCCTGGGGCAGGCTGGGAAAGTCTTGCTAGGAGAGCCTCCGCCCTGGCGGGGTGGTGGGGAGATCGCAGGGAGGAGTCATGGGGCGAGAAACGGAAAGACTACATCTCCCAGGCCGCCACGCTTTCCAGCTGGAGTCCTAGGGCGCCGACTGCTCCCCAGTTTCCGTAGGCAAGCGCCAGGCTACCGCAGCTATTGTGCGCAGCGATATCGCCCTCCTCTTCCCTCTCGGGTGTCTCGGGAGGAAGGCTACGTCTCAATTGCCGCCGGGGCTTAACCCCTCCGACGCCTAACAGGACAGCAGGCCGGCTCCCTTGGACCAGGAAGAACTCTTGGGAGCGAGAACACTCTGGTCACGCAATCCCAGGGTGCGAGGAAGACAGCCGAAGAAGGAGCCCGAGGGCTGGGGCTCGGCACAAAGGTTCGCTGGGGCGGGGCGGCAGCTCTGGCTTTAAGAAGGGGGAGGGGATAGTGCAATCAGGGTTGCCCGCGGAGTTCGGCAAAGGAAATCTTCGGCTAGCTCGGGAACGAGGAGCGAGGAGAGCAGGCTTCCAGGACCAGCGCCCACCCCAGCCTCCACCCCGGGCGGGCCGAAGTGTCACGTTTGCAGTGGCTCAGGAAGGACTCCCGCTGGTCTCCGGAGGCAGGCTGGGCTGCCTGTCGGGGGAGGCAATGCCTTGGGGGCATGCTGCTTGCTAGGCAGAACCCCTCCGGGGTCGGGCTGCATTAGTTAGCTTTCTGTGTCATCTGAAGCAATTGCCGGCCGCCCGCTTCTGGCACAGACCAGCCAGCTTTACCCAGGAATCTCCACGGAACAGGTACCTGTCCTCCAAAGGGAGGGAGGCTACGAGTTTCCCAGGCGGGTCCCGCGCTCAGTTCCTCCCATCTGCTCCCCCCTACTGTGCCGCTGATGCTCTTGGTCTTTGTGTCTTTCCTCTCTCCTTTCAGCCCTCGCCATCAGAACCATGGGGCATCCCCCGCTGGAGTTCAGCGACTGCTACCTGGACAGCCCCGATTTCCGCGAGAGGCTCAAGTGTTACGAGCAGGAGCTGGAGAGAACCAATAAATTCATTAAGGACGTCATCAAGGATGGCAACGCGCTTATCAGCGCAATGAGAAGTAAGTGGAAGGTTTCGATGGATGAGCTGTTTCCCTGAGCTAGTGGCTCTGGCCTTTAAGCTCTTCCACACCGCAGGGGAAGGGAGGATTCACGGTGCTTCCCAATCCAGTTCTCTGGGGCGAGTGGGTTTCTGAACACTTCGGAAGCGGGGTCAGTTGAAGTGGAAGGTGGTGGTTGTAACTAGAACTTTGGTGGCCTTGACTTTGTAAGACTTGATCTGTACCTGTGCCAAGGACCCTCTTGCTCTCCGACTATCCTTACTTGGCAGATTGGTGTTCGGAAGGGATAATTTGCCTGTACTGTTGCTCATGTTTAGTACTCATGTCTTGGGTAAGGAGACATTCAAGCTGACCAAGGAACTGCCCTATGCCCTAGCACCTCCTAAAGAAGAGAGGTTTGAAGCCAGCAGCTGGAGTAATGGTTTTGTCCTGGCTTCTGGTTGCTAACGGAGGATGGTGGGGGCAGTTAAAAAAAAAAAAATTACCTGTATCAACCTGTTTTCTAAGGAAAGCACCTTTGCCCCAGTGACTTTTTTCCTTTAAGGTCCTGAGCTATGGTTTTGGTCAGAGTCAGTCTAAGCCCAGAATTATTGGATGGCCTCACGTGCCCCTGAATTCTGCTTGGGGTGAAACTGAGACCTGCCTGGTACCTGGCATAAGGAGCCCAGCCCCCAGGGAGCATACTTCAGGGCCAGGGTTAAGGGCCACTGGTCCGAAGGAACCTCATCTAGCTTGGCTTTCCCAGTGGTCACAGCTGACAGCTGTGGGACCCTACCCCCCTTCCCCACTGTGTGGAGTTTTTATTTCTGCTAGTTGGCAGAAGGCTTGGAGTAAGAGAAAGAATAATAAATATTCCCAACAAGAGTGCAGGCAAGCCAGCCCATTGTGCCAAAGTACATATACCCAGAAGAATGGAGGATAGCGATTGGGTGGAGTGATAGGTTTTTCTCTTCTTGGCTGAAAAGTCGTTGCAAAAAATAAAGTCACTGGTCAGAGTCACTGGTAAATATGTCCTGTCTGCTTATAACTTTGTTCTGAATGGGCTTATCCCCGAAAAACTGTGTCCAGAGTCCAGTGTTGGGGACCTTCTCAAGGCAGATGGAGCCGATGAAGAGCAGGGAGAAAGGCTTGGGAGTGCAGTGGTAACAGCTACCAGCTGGTATTTGTGTGCAGCTCTTTTGCTCCTGGGAATCTGTGCTTTCACTGCCAGTGTTGTCTGCCCACTTTGGTGAGAGTATATCAATTGCCCAAGTTCCTGCTGGTCATTTGATTGAGTTTGATTATTTAATTTTTTTTGTCGTATTGTGGTCGAAACAAGAGCACACTCTTGGCAGCACCTTCAAGATGGGGTATTTGAAATGCTGATCCTTAGAGACGTATAGGCTAGGCTTTGGGGTGTGTTGCCACTTAATAGAACTCACTGAGGGGTTAAAGATATGCAAGTTATGCCACAAAAGTAGTTAGAGAGATTGAGGGTTCATTGAAAGGAAAAGGGGAGAATGTTCGGATTTTTAAAAATTTTTACTCATGATAAACTGCTTGGTGTAGTATCTACAGTCAAATGTAGCTCATCATAAGCCCCAGGAAGGGAATGGTTTTGTGAAGTGTATGGTAAGCTGAAATTGTTTGTGCTAAAAAGTGACCAGCTACAGAGAGATTAAGATTAACATTAACGTTTGAGGAAGGGCAGATTTTTGTATGCTAGGGGCAAGTAGTGGTTCTTATACTCTTTCCTTCTTCTCTGAGACTGAGACTGGTAAGAGTCAACAGTTATGCAGGCCTAAACCTTTGCAGATGGGTGGAAGATCCAAGAAATAGTTTGGCCCATGGTGTTTCTTGATATTCAGGGTGGTTTTCTGTTTCCGAATATACATAGAAAGCCAAAATAGGGCAGGGAGGAAATAAAACCCAGCAGCTAACCCACACTCCATTTCTTTTCCTTTAAGTTGTATGATTCTAAAAACATGATTAGATAGAGGCAAAGGCGGGATGTTTCCCACTGTCTTGACCACAGTAATGTTTATACTCCCACTCTACTTCCTCACACTGTGCTAGCTTTTTGAGAATAAGTGGGGAAGCAAAACAAAGGTATGCTTTTGCTTTGTGTGGAGGAAACAGGAAAAGAGAACCCTGGAACTGGAGTTAGAAGACGTGGCTTGGCTTCGCCATCTTGGAATAAGATGGCACAGATTGCTGACTTCATCTGTTAAATAGGGGTGATTATACCCATCTCACAGGGTGGTTGTGAGACTCAAAGGAGTTAATGGATTATGAAAGTGCTTTTTGAATGGAAACAGCTAAACATAGAACGTTGTTGATAATATGTCTTTAGGCTAATAATGTAGCTGCTGGTGAGTGTGTATTTTTCAGTAGGTTTCTGAAGGGAAATGAATAAGCAGAAGTAGTTGGAAACATATTTTTTGCTGTCATCTTATTGGAAAATGTCACTCCCTACATTGGCATGTCTCAGCGATTAATTTTGTATTCACGTGTGGGGATTCATTTTGGCATTTGGAGCTTGGCATTAACGTCAGAAAGAATGACACCTTTCCATTTAACTCACTAAATTGACTAGCAAATCAAATGGCTAGTGTTTCTAGGAACCAATGAAACTTGGTGCATTGTGCTGCAAAAACTAGCTGCAGTTTTTGTTAAAGTTGCTAGCCTAGGTGGAACTGGATTTCTACATTTATCCTACTTGTGTCTGATTTTGTACAGAGCTCCAGATAAGGTTTAAGTCACAACTTCGTGTCATGATTTAGTCATTAAACATAGGTCCCTTTTGAATATTTAGATTTACTTACATCTGTACTCAGAGGTAATTGATGTTATGAACAATACTCAACATGTCTCCCTTGGGGAAGTGGTTGATTTCCCCCCTTTAAATGTGATTTATTTATAATCGTTGGGGTACAAGATGATGATTATAACTTAAACTAGTGGAAAATAAAAGCACCATGACTCTGAAAGGTGAACATATTGCCCGCTTTTCTGTTTGTCCTTTGTTTTTATGTTGGCAGTTTTGGTCCCTGGTGGTGTTTGAATATTTTCTAAGCACTCAGGCTAGGAATTACTCAGAACAAGTGACGTGGCTCCTGCTTATATCACAAGGCAACATGATACACCTAATAAATGATATATATAGTTCAGTGAACACATACCATTCATTCAGTAAATACTTGTGCACATACTATATTCAAGCCACTGTGTTCAGGGCTGTCACAGATGTGGCAGGCTTAGTCATACATGGGTCCTGCCCTCAGAGAGTTCCTAGACTAGTAGGAGAGAAAAGACATGGGTAGAGATCACTATCCTGTAAGGCAGTAGATATGGATCAGAGCCATAAGAATGAAACAGGTGGGGCGCCTGGGTGGCTCAGATGGTTAAGCGTCTGCCTTCGGCTCAGGTCATGATCCCGGGGTCCTGGGATCGAGTCCCGCGTCGGGCTCCCTGCTCCTTGGGAGCCTGCTTCTCCCTCTGCCTCTCTCTCTCTCTCTGTCTCTCATGAATAAATAAATAAAATCTTAAAAAAAAAATTATTTCAAGAATGAAACAGGTGGATATCAGGGCACAGGACACCAGCAGGAGAGCTCATTTCTTGGTGGGAGGGCAAGGAAAAGGAAAGGAGGAAATGGCATTGGAATTTGACAGAATTCATACTTACTGCTTGTTTAACTGTTCCCAGTGCCAGGCATTAAAATATTTTAATAGCCTTATGAGATAAGGATTATTATTCCCATTGTATAGATGAGAAAACTGAAGTTCAGAGGTGCTAAGTAACTTCCTCAACAAATAAGGGCGAGAGTCTGAATTAGAACCCAGACCTGACTCTAAAGGCCCTGCTTATACTTTACTGTGTTGCACTGTATTCGGGATGAGGCATTTCATGTAGTAGGAATGACTTAGAAGATATAAAGGGACAGCAGATAATTGAAGTCATCTGCAGTGGATAGGTTGCAGGAAGGACGTTTTGGGAGATGAGGTTGGACTGGAAGGTTGAGGCCTTAATTGTGCAGGGACCTGTTAAATACTTCAGATTTTTCTTTATAGATAGAGGGAATATTAAAAATGTTTTTCGTTAGGAGAGAGGCATGGTGGCAACTGCCTTCGGCTCAGGTCATGATCCCAGGGTCCTGGGATCGAGCCCCGAATCGGGCTCCCTGCTCTGCGGGAAGCCCGCTTCTCCCTCTCCCACTCCCCCTGCTTGTGTTCCCTCTCTCGCTGTGTCTCTCTCTGTCAAATAAATAAATAAAATCTTTAAAAATTTTTTCATATGTCATAAAATATTCTTCTGCTTTTGAATTTTTCAACTGTTTAAAAACATAAAAACCATTCCCACCTCAGCTAGGGGAGGGAGACATGCAAAAATAGGCAGAGGGTTGGGTTTGTCTGTCTGGTAGTAGTTGGCAGACCTCTGATATAACTAGTCAACCTAAAAAACCCTAATTGGATTTTTATTGGTAAGGCAATGAAAATAGCTAATGGTAGAATATAATGCCATATTTCACATTTCCATCAACTAGGTTTCCTTTGCTGTGCTGTTAATTGTGCCTGATCCGGATTCGGGGATCACAGGTTCAAGTGCTGTCAGAGGCCAAGGAGAAAACAGAAAAGTATAAAGCTGTTGGAAATGGGTTAATAGGGCTGGAATGATTGGGGCAAAATACAGCAGCCTCACCCCATTCAAATGGCCTTTACTTTTTTTTTTTTTTTTAATGTGCCAACTAAATAAAATACATTCAGAGCCTATATTTAATCAGATTGCAACTCCTGAGCTAGATGATCTAACTCTATTAGTCTATGAGTCTTGGATGCTTATATGCTAGGGAAATGAAAGGCAATAGTCTCCAGATAGAGATTTCTCTGGGGAAGCACTACTGGGCACTGTTTCCATATGAGCAGAGACAGAATGATAGTATAATGGGGAACAATCTCTAGACATGACGATTAGATACCTGGGTATGGTTCTGTTACTAATGGGATCTGTGACCTTCGTAAGT